TCCTCATCCAGCTGAGTTACACTCAAACCATCGTAAGTTCATTTAATATTAAAGAATATAAGATAGCACTGCAATATTTTTAAGGTTTCAAACCTTCAGCGCAGTTTGAAATTGACGACTTCATAAAATTTGAGGAGCCGCAAACAGAACCGTTGGATTTGTCAATTTCAAGAACACATATGGGGATTCATAAATTTGAGGAGCCACAAACAGAACCGTTAGATTTGTCAATGACAAGAATGATTGAGAGACGGATTGGACCATCATATCTATCAGCGCCAGAGATAAGTGGGGGACAAGTAGAACTCAGCGAAATTGATCAGAATGACGCAAGATCGTTGAACCTACCAGTTGAAGAAGTGAGTAAGGAACAAACAGGTATAGCAATTGATCCGAAGACATTATCCCTTCAAAAGGAAACCTCAAGGTTAAAAAAAACATACGACTAACACACCTAAAAAGTCGTTTAAATGCAAAACATGCGGAAAGGGTTTTGGTAAGCCATCGGATATGAAGAAACATGTGAGAATTCACACTGGTGATAGGCCATTCAAATGCGAAATATGCGGGAAGAATTTTACTCAGTCATCGATTCGGAATCGACATATGAGGACACACACGTCCTTAATTTTAAGCTATTTTAGTCAATAGATGATAAGGTCTTTGGCAATTTGGATCATTGTTTTATATATCTGATACATTTACTACTGTCAAAAATCAGATCAGATTGCACATTTATTCTTCACTTATCATTGCTTTCACGAAAACGAAGCAAAAAAAATTATTTCAGAAAATGAAAAATATATGTAATATTTATTTCTTCGATATGCAAAATTTATTTTACAACGAGATTTTATCATGAAATGAATTTCATCACTTCCAACTTTTGGACTTCAATTTTCAGCTTTTGTCAATATCTGCTAGTTTTTTTGGAAATTATTTTCCTTTTTTTTAAAATCAATAATTTATGCAAAATTGGAAATGTAATCAAACATTTGATTTATTTATTATCAAAAATATCTTCAAAATTTAAAATAAATTAAAATACATAACTTTTATTATTAAAAGCTTGAATTTGAACAAAATTTCAAAGTATTATTTTGAATGAAATATTTGGAGGCAGTAGCAAGAATAACATGGAGCAGAAGTGGGGAATGATAATAATATTCATTTCTTTTTCTTTTTTTCTACTCTTTTCGTTTCTTTTTACTTTCACAATTTGTCAACTTCAAACGTTTGTAAAATTAAATTTTGCAAAT